CTTTTAATGGAGCTTTAAACTATAATACTTTGCTACAGTCAATGTTGTTTTTGAGAAGGAAAATAGGATGGAATGTTGTATACTGATGTTGTTTCAGCATCTTGGAGGGAAAAGGTAGGGAATTAAGTTGGTCCCTGACTGCGCTTTTGATGCTGGCATTAGAAAAGTACAGGCTGGAGAAAGATAAAGGAAGTGTTAAAAGGGTTATTGCAAGTGTTAAAGGTGTTTGAAGTTGAATGAGCAGGGAAAGAGGATGTAGGAATGTTAACAGTTCTGCCTTGGCCTGGGGCTGAGACCTTAAAATCTTGGGTGTTAGCCCTCTGGGGCAAAGGGATCATGATGGGTCCCAGAGAGTTGTCACAGAAACAGAAAAGCAGTTAACTCTGAAAACAACCTGAGTTCATGTGTGAGCTCAGATTGCCGATGGGATCGCTCAGGGAACTGTGGACAATTGCATTTTCCTGACCGACCCCCACTAAGACCCTAATCATCCTGAAAATTATGAACGGTTAAGTAAATACTAGAATCTGGACGAATTGGGAATTGAGAATATGCTTCCAACAAGGTCTAAAAGAAACCCCTGTGGAATTTTTGGACCAACTCTGAAATGTAATGGGGAAGAAAGGAAAAAAAAAAAAAAACAACAAAAAAAACGATTTGGACCTGGCTTCAGAGGACAAATTGACTAGCCTTTTTCTAGGGTAATCATCGGCCCCTGATTTCAACAGGTCTAATGGGGACCCGGGGAATCTACCCTAGCAGATCCTCCACTGATTATAATGAAGTTAGGAGAGGAACAGAAGTGAAATTTCTTATTGATATGGGGCAACATACTCAGTTCTAAATCAAGCATTAATGCCTTTACGGAATGATTATGTTAAGGTAAAAGGGTGTAAGCGAAAAGGCTTATTTTTGTGAACCTTTGAAATACAAGTTGGGGAAATGTTATATATGGAGTGGTAATTCGTGTTGAGAAAATGGTTGATATTAACAAAGAAGGGTGATTCAGGAGACTCCATGCAGTCTGGGGTTTCTTGTTCTCCAGGTGGTTTCTTGTTCTCCAGCCATTAAGGCATGGATGTTTCTGGGTGTTTGCTGTTGTTGTTACATTCAAAGCTGTTTGACTAATTAAACAGTTGTTTTGAAAAGAACTGCTGTGGAGAGAAGGGTATTAGAGGGGAGCCTGCTTTTAAAAAAAAAAAAAAAAAAAAAAAGCAACACTATGAAGTTACATCGGTACAGAAGCAGGAAAAAGAAGTGAAGAGGAACAGGCTGGCAGAATGGGGACTGTTAAGTTATGGAACTCAAAGGATTGTTTGTTACCTATCCTGATTGTATGTATGTATAGGCATACTCGAGTTATTATGTAAAGCAATGTTCTGTATACATGTATTTAGAACGTTTGATGTTTGTGTGTGCGTGTTGGTGGAGCGTAGACTCCCTGCACACCCAGCGCTGTTTACTTGCCTTTTATATACCTTTTAGAAATATTTGTTTTATAAATATTACAAAATTCAGACCTCATTTATAACAGGAAACAAATGGGGATACATAGGTTTTTATATCTACCTGGATCTCCAAAATCTCTATTAGGTTGAGATCTGTTAGAACAATTAGAAGCAGAAATTATCTTCAAAAAAAAAGGAAAATGGAATTAAGGATAGGAGAAGAACTAATAAATGTGTTAAGCCTGGCACTAATACAAACCGACCCTAAAAGTGAAATACCCTTAGAGATCATAAATCAAGTATATCCAGGAGTTTGGGCCACTGAAGTCTCTGGAAGAGCTAAAAATGTGACCCCAATAATTATTAAATTAAAGCCAGGAGAGAAACCCGTTAAGGTTAAGTAATATCCTTTGAGGATAGAAGATAGGAAAGGAATTAAAGAGATAATTGATAAATTTTTACAGTATGGATTATTGATTGAATGTGAATCAGAATACAATACACCCATATTGCCAATTAAAAAGGCAGATGAAAAAAGCTATAGGTTAGTTCAGGATTTGAGGGCCATAAGTCAAATCACTGATATACATCCAGTAGTGGCAAACCCTTATACTTTGCCGACTAAATTAAAGAATAGTCAAGTCTGGTTTACTGTACTGGATTTAAAAGACGCCTTCTTCTGCCTAGGCTTAGCCACAGAAAGCCAAAACCTATTTGCCTTTGAATGGGAAAATCCCAATTCAGGCAGAAAGACGCAGCTTACGTGGACATTACTACCTCAAGGATTCAAGAATAGCCCCACTATTTTTGGAAACAATATGTAGATGATCTCTTAATAGCTACCGAGACTAAAGGGAGCTGTATTCAATGGACTATAAGTTTTCTTAATTTTCTGGGTTTAAAATGGATATCAAGTCTCTTGACAGAAAGTCCAGCTGTCTCAACAAAGTGTGACCTATCTGGGATTTGAAATTTCGGGAGGACAACGAGAACTAGGAACTGAACATAAGGAAGTCATTTGCCGGACTCCAGAACCTCAAACGGTAAAGGAGCTACAAACCTTTTTAGGAATGACAGGTTGGTGTCGCCTTTGGATTTATAATTATGGACGATTGGTAAAGCCTCTATGTGAATTGATAAAGATTAACTGGAGAAGCACAAAAAGTCTTTAAACAACTTAAACAAGAATTGATGATTTTAAAATATCAAGCAATATTAGTAGAACAAGATGATGTGGGAATTGTGGTCATTAACATCGTAAATCCAGCTTCTTTCCTTAGTGGAACTCTGGATCAACCCATAACCCATGATTGTATAGAAACAATGGAGACTGTGTATTCTAATCGACCCGATCTTAAGGAAGAACTTTTAGAAGATGCTGACGAATCTTGGTATACTGATGGAAGCAGCTTTGTGAAACAAGGACAACGTAAGGCAGGGTACGCCATTACAACCACTCAACAGGTAATCAAGTCCAAACCATTACCCCTGGGACGGCCACCCAGAAAGCAGAGACAATTGCTCTTATGCGAGCACTGGAACTAGCAGCAGGAAGGAAAATAAATATTTGGACAGATTCTAAATATACATTCGGCATGGTACATGCTCATGGAGCAATTTGGAAAGAAGAAATTTTAAAATTGTTAGAGGTTGTAAAACAACCAGAAAAGGTAGCTATCATGCATTGTCAGGGACACCAAAAGGGGAACACCGATTTTGAAATTGGAAATTGATTGGCAAAGGCTAAGCGGGCAGCTGAAATAACTGAGGTGAAGGCATTGTCTTTGATACCAGATGGTAAAATCCAAACTATATCCAAATTATACAAAAGAAGACTTAAAATTAATTGAAGATTTGAAAGGTAAAATGAAACCAGATGGACGAGTATATTTAAAAGATAACCACATAATAATACCCTCTAATTTGACATGGCTCATAGTTCTTACAGAACACAATAAAACACATTGGGGAGCTGGCACACTGCATAAGAGCCTGAGTCAGACATTAGTGGAACAAAATTTATATACAACAATAAAACAAGTAACTCAACAATGTAGCATTTGCTTACACAATAACCCCAATACCAAGAATAGAATAAAATTTGGAATAATCAGTAAAGGAAGTTATTCGGGGCAACTGTGGCAAATTGATTTTTCAGAACTCCCTAGAAAAGGGGGGTATTGTTATTTACTGGTTCTGACTGACATGATTTCAGGAAGGCCTGAAACCTTTCCCTGTCGAACAAACAAAGCAAGAAGAAGTGGTTAAAGTCTTGTTAAATGAAATAATACCATGCTTTGGGATTCTAGTAGCAATGTCTTCTGATAGAGTTTCACATTTTTGTGTGCAAGTGGTACAACAGATAAGTAAGATTCTAAAGATATTCTAAAGACAACTGCATAGTCTTTATAGACCGCAGGCAAGTGGACAGGTAGAAAAAATGAAACATTTAATTAAACAACAAATAGCTAAAATCGGACAAGAATCTAATTTGTCATGACCTCAATCCCTCCCTTTAGCATTACTTAGAATTTGAGTTAAACCTAGAATAAAAGGGAATTTGAGTCCCTTTGAAATCTTATATGGAAGGCCGTATCCATTTCTATTTAGTGGAGAGGATCGAACGCAGTTAGGATTAGAATATTTATATGCATATATAACTGAACTTCAGAAATAATTAAATAAAGTACATAAATTTGTTCTCAGGACCTGGGCTAGACGGTTGGATCAACCAATCCACCCTTTTAAGCTCAGGGATTATATATATAAAGACTTTTTCAGGACAACCCCTAGAGGAAAAACGGAAGGAATGTGGACGGGACCATACCAGGTATTACTGACAACACACACCGCCATTAAGATGAAGGAGCAAGCAGCTTGGATCCACGATTCAAGGGTGAAGGCCCTGGCGAGGATATGGACCACCACTCCAATTGGACCAACAAAATTATGGTTTTCCAGATCCTAATGATTGCAGGGGTGTGGTTCTCAGATTCGGGGTGGGCAGTTTGGGATGAGAACTTACACCTGTCCCTGATACAAACAATTTCTCAAGTAATTAATAAGACAAACTGTTGGGTATGCACCCATCTGCCACAGCATGGGAATAAGGGTGTATCGTTAATCAGGATTCCCTTGCCTGCAAACTTACCTTGGACTAATTTGTGGGAAAACACATCTTGGGGTCAAAAATATGAAGAAGTTTTGGAACTAGAAGTGAGTAGCTTCGTGCCATTGGAATCTTACTATGTATGTGTACAAAGGTGTAACCCGCCTAAGGGTATGGGAAAACAGGATTGTATAAATACGGGTACTTCTTATGTGGGAAATCAGACATCTTGTAATCAAACAATTGATATTAGTACAACTAGCAGTTGGGCAAATTCAACCAGCTGGCCAGTTCCAGAAGGAAAAGGGTGGTATTGGCTATGCAATGATACAGCCCGTAAGGTCTTGCCCGAGAACTGGAAGGGAACTTGCACTCTTGGAGCAGTAGTCCCCAGTATGACAGTACATGATGTAGTGCCTTGAGGTTACTTGAGAAATCATATCTGGAGAATTAGACGAAAAATTAACAATCCATTGATAGAGAGACACACCGCTTTTCATAGTTTTGTTCGATGGTTTATCCCATGGTTAGGAGTGAATGAATTGGAAAAGGCGGTAGTTAATATTTCTGCAATTATAGAGAAGTTAGAAAACAAAACTCTGGATGCTATAAAGGCTCAACAAGAAGAGATATCTAGTTTATCACAGGTAGTATTACAAAATCGGATGGCCCTAGACTTGTTACTGGCCGCTCAAGAGGGAGTCTGTACAGTAATAAATACAAGTTGTTGTATGTATGTAGATCAGAGTGGAAGGATCTCTACCGACCTGGAAGAAATATGGAAGCAGACAAGGGTCCTACATGAGATCAGTAAAGATGATCTTTCATGGAGTTTTAGTGAAATATGGAATAAGTTAACCTCCTGGTTGCCCAATTTCCAATGGTTGAAACAAGTGTTCATTGCTCTAATCACATTAGTAGTGTTAGGAATATTTGTGTGCATGTTGTTTAGATGCCTGCTTTGTTGTGTTACTGTAAATAATGAAAGTATCTGATGCAAAAGAATTTGCATGGGAAAAGAAAAGGGGGGATTGATTAAGGAGGTATTGGGGAGGCATTGGGGAGGCAAGGACAATCCCCAGACACGGACTGTATATCTCGAAACAAGACACTGGAACTCATGATAAGGAAGCGGCAGACGGACAGAGAAACAAATGTAAGGACTATAAATCTCAAAATTGGACATTGGAATTCATTATAAAGATACAACAACTGGAAGAATTAGCAACAACCAGCGCTTGCAATTAAGAAACATGCCAACTCAGCAGATTCCTGACCAAAGGTGAAAAGTACACTGTGAGAAAGACTCGGGGTCTTCCTCCCAAAGACCCCTGCCCACGTCCCAAAGACCCCTGCCCACAATTCTTGGGAGGCTCTACGCAGGCGCAAGGTGCCAAAAGGCTAATTAGCATGAGAAGCGAGGGAAGGCGGGGATAGGTAATGCATATGCATAGGCGCTTGTAGAATATTGATAGATTGATTGTATAAATTCAAGACTGCTTTCCGCTTTGGGTATGCACGATAGGTGGAGAGATCCCCCGTGCATCCAGCGCTGCAATAAAGAATATACCACTTAAAGGAATTTCGGCTTCGATCTTTGAATCAGCACCCAAGCATCTCCCCGGTCACCCAAGCGTCTTTCTGGACATCCCAGCATCTCCCCAGAGCAAACAGGCATCAATCCAGGTCATCCCTACACCTTCCAAAAGCCCCAAGGCTCCTCCCTTGGGCATTAGATAACGTATCCCTGGGGCACACAAGCAGGATGTCAGAGCACCAGAGAATCTCCCCAGGCCACACAAACACCTCCCTTGAATACGCAGGCACCTCCATGAGGCTTGGGTCTCTCAAGGTGCTGCTCGGTCCTCTAGTTAGGTGTGTGGGTAGTTGGGGGCTGGCGGCCGGAAGATGTGGCGCTGCACGGAAAGGTGGAGCCCCTCCCTTGATGGGCAGTAGCGTGTGGGCTGTGCTGTAAGCAAGCGGAAGTGGCGCTATGGGCCTCGGGTAGATAAGCCCATGGGACTCGACAATAAACGGCGTTTGCCACCCACCACCTTGGTGTCTGTGAGCCGATGGACCGAGCGGCCTGGGGTTGGTCGCCGCTGCCCCCTGAAGGCAACAAGTGGTGCCGAAACCCGGGAAAACTCCGGGATTCGGGAGAACGGCGGCCGGAGCGGCGGGACCAGCCCGGCGGGGAGGACGCTCCCGGCCCAACAAGGAAGATGGAAACCCTTGTGAAGGTCGTATCCAAGTTGTGGAAGCTGTGGGGTGGCTCAGCTGAGGAAGCCGGGGTGCCGGTGGGGACCGAGACCCTGGGGAAATCTGGGAGCGGCCACGGCCATGTGCGCCCCAGAACGGTGCTGAACTAGAAAACGAAGAGTCGGGTGAAGAAGCCTCCTGCGGGAACGGGGAAGAAGTGCTAGGTTTGACTAACACGTGCAAAGGGGAGAAAGCAAACGGTTGCGGGGACGACCGGGGAGGAGGTAGAAGCGCGAGAGAGGGGCAGAGAGCCGATCGGAACGGCCATCCGAAAAAACGCTCCAGTGGCTCAAACGCCTCGCTGAGAAGGCGGCGGGGAGAGCCACGAGGGAGAGAGCGGCCCGCCCGCAGGGGTGGGGGGCAGGGCCAGGACTCGACGGGAGGGGACCGGAACTCGGAGGTGAGCAGTCAGCCGAGCTCCGACTCCGGATCAGATAGCGATTCAAATTCGGAGGAGGAGGAAATGGGGACAGATAGCGAAAACATCCCCAACCGAAAGAAAGCTGCACCGCGAGGGGGAGAAATTCCTCTCACGGATTGGAGGAAACTTAAGATTGCGTGCGCCGTCTGGGCTCTATCGGCCATGCTAGCGTTCCCGGTCTGGGTGACAGACGGGGGGCAGAGGGTTCACTCACCAATAAACCCTGAGGATGTCCAAGCGATTGTTAAAGCCATTGCGGATAAAGGGCTTCATTCTGCAATGGTCTCCACCCTCATAGATGGTGTTTTCGGGGGAGACGACGTGCTCCTGTTTGATATAAACAAACTTGTCGACTGATCTTTGACGGGGGGGGATGATCACTTTTAAACAAGAATGGGAGGACAACTTAAATTCAGTCCATCCAAGTAGGAAAAGTAAATGTGGAGAGCTGTATCTTGGCAAAGAAGATAGTAGGGAGCAAGGAGGTTTAGCAGTCAGGATGGAAGGTGATGCCATGAGGCTTACAGGCTAGTAATGTTGTAGTGAAAGCCAGCCTTCCTAAACAAAGCTGCCTGAATAATTCCTGTGAATAACATACTATGTTCAGCTATTTCCTAACATAGACACGGTGCTGACTGCTTCTTCAGAGTAACGTGAGTTAGTGATACTACTGAAACAGTTGGGGTTCAGATGTAGATCTGATTTCTCCTAAGCACGCTGAATTCACAGCTGTTGATCCTCCAGAGGAGGCTTTGCAATTGAACACGTGGAGAATAGGTAAATTTCCCGCTGTTGTTTTCCTCTCCTCTTGTTTTGTTTTGTTTTTTTCCTAGTAGCATAGGCTTAAGACTCTGAAGAAACGGGCTGCTTTTTTTCATTTCCAACACTGGCTGTTCCTCCTCAGCCCCGCCTTGTATTTTTTCAGTCATAGGGTATGTGAATGTAAATTCTTGGGAGAGAGGTAGAAAACTCTGTTTCAACTGTTGTTTTTTCAGCTGTGTGGGTGTGGAGGAATTGTTAAGTGAGGCAGGACATGTGAATGTTGAGCAGTTGGGAGACAATGGGCTGGTGAAGCACCGCACTCAACTCACATGAGCCTTGGCACGTATGCAGCTGGCTGAGAGCCAATCAGGCTCAAGGACACGATGCCCTTGGGCCATCGGGAAAGTCCCTAAGGTGGGACAGGTAGCCAAAAGAAGGAGGACCAGACTGAAAAGCCTGGGAAGTGTCAGCCAGTCCTGAGCTTAGTTTCTGCAATATGTATGAGTTGATTATGTTCGAACTAGATAAAAGACGACTGAGCTATCCATTAAAGTTGAAGTTCACTGTTCACTCATATTGAGCGTCTGGGTCTTCCTTCCGTCGGCAACAAATTGGCGCCCAACGTGGGGCAAGTCTGAACAGGATTTGGACACTGCTGGCAGTGATCCAGGGCCACGGTTGGACGGAATAAAGGAGAAGCCGGTCCTGCAACGCAGCCCAGGAGGTGAAAAGGACAAGAATCCCCGCACCCGCGCCGGGAAGGTGAAAAGGACGTGGAGTCCCCCGCACCCGGGAGTGGATCCCGCCGGTCGCTAGTCGCCGAGATCTGCAGCTCGGAAGGTGAAAGGGAGTCCCCGCACCCGGGATGAGCCTATTTAGGGTCCCGCCGGAAAAGCGCCGCCGAGGTCTTTGCAAAGGCTGCAACCGATGTATATAAAGGTATGAAAAGATAAGCGGCGTATTATTTGCTCAAATGCTTTTTAGAAAAGCGGAGCATTTTAGATACAGATTGTAGAAAAAGATTTGCCAGGGTTATTAGTATATGGGATAGCTAAGGGTTGTTTTACAAGTCCTGATACAGTTTTTTGAACAAACAGAGTGACGTAAATTTGGAAATAAATTGTTTGATGATGTTAGGAACGATGTTAAGTTTGCTGGGAGATTTGATGAGGCCATGGAGAGTAGTGGCTAATGCATTAGCCACACATAAAGATGAACAAAGAGTTGCCGCTGCTGCAACAGAGTGGTCAGGACCACCAAGAAGGGTTAATAATGTTAATCCACAGCAAATAAATATGGAAGGAACAGATTGCCCGTTGCCACCTTCCGTTAGAACTTTTACTATTACACAGGGGGCCTCGGGAATTTCGGGGGTGCCTGTGACAATGTCCTCTGTAGCAGAGGAGGAGCTCTCACTACCAACAGCTCCAACTGCTCCAATAGAAAGTGAGAAAGGAGCAAGTGAAAGGACCAGTGCTAACTCATTTCTATCAAATATAAATCCCTTCACAACGGGGGCGCAGGGAGGAGAAGGTCTGCAGCTATCGAAGGCCTTTGCTGTTACGCCCCCTGTTGACCTGAACGTGCCTTTTGACCCAGGCCCTATTGGCCTTGGAAAGGAGCGATGGAGGCAAATAGCAAATGAGGCACTGCGTGAAGGGAATTATGAAACGGCAGCACAGTTAACACAAGCTTTTCCGGTAGTATACTCGCCACCAGATGCACAGGGGAATGTGACCGTTAATATGACAAATTTAGACTGGAAACTATTAACTCAGTTACGATCTACAGTAAATGATTCTGGTTTAAAGGGGGAACCTACTCGGCAAATGTTAGATTACATTTGGGGAACTAATATATTGCTCCCCGGGGACATACGTGGTATAATGAAGCTGATCCTAACACAACATCAACAGCTTCTTTTTAATGCGCATTGGCAAAGCGTTTGTCAAGAGGCAGTAGCTGTGATAAGGGCACCTGGAGATCCGTTGTATGGTGTCACGTTGGAGGAATTGATGGGACTCGGACCATATTATAGATTAGAGACACAAGCGTTGCTGGGTCCACACAAAGCTAAAGAATCAATGAGATTGGCTCGAAGAGCCTTGGACCAAATTAGAGAGCCAGGGGGGATACCATCCTATATGGGCATCAAGCAAGGAAGGGAGGAACCATTTGGGTTGTTTATTGATCGAGTAGCAAACGCAATACAAGCGGCTGGGGTACCTGATTATCTAAAGGGCACTATTCTAAAGCAGTGTGCAATTCAAAACTGCAACCCTTCAACTCGTAGTATATTAGCTACGTTACTGGGAACTTGGACAATCGAGGAAGGGTTGGAAAGAATGGCTCAGGTACCAGTAGGCCCACAGGCTATGTTAGTAGAGGCAGTAAAGCAATTAGGTGACAGCATGCGAGAACAGGCACAGGCTGTGAAAGAGCATGTTCAGTCTACACAGAGTCAGGTCCTTGCAGCTCTTGCTCCTTTGCAAACCGCCGGTGGTCCAGTACCACCCCCTAGTAACCAATTACCACACCGCTGCCGATGTTATCGTTGTGGTGCTTTTGGACACGTGAGACGAGACTGCAAAGCTGGGGCAGTATGGTGCTCAAATTGTCAGTCGAACAATCACAAGGAAGCGGCATGTCGACGCAACATGCTGGGAAACGGACGGAACAGCGGCAAGAGTCACAAACGCCTCCCGTGGCCGCTCCGCTCCCGGCCCCGGCACTGGCCGGGGCAGCGCGGCCGCGGGCGGCCACAGGGCCGGTCCCGGTCCCTGTGCCCGAAGTTTCCCAAGCCCGCCCTGCCGAGGTGGAGGATGCAGCAGGACGGCGCGGAGCGGGGCGGCTTCCCGTGGCCGGAGCCGCTGCCCGTGGGCGGCCCGGTGCTGCCATTCCGCTGCCCGCGCCGCGGGGAGCGCGGACGGTTCGACTGCGGCACGCGTGTCAGGGCGAAGTTCAGCAGGATGGTGGAGGCCGTGGACAAGACGATGGAGAAGCGGCTCGACAGGCTGACCGGGGAGCTGGCCCAGAAGACGGCGGAGCTGCTGGAGGTGCGGGAGGCCTTTGTGCAGCTCTCGCAGAAGCAGCAGGAGGTGCAGCGGAGGGAGCGGGTGCTCAGCAGGCAGGTGGACATGGCAGTGGAGATGATCGCGGCCTTAAAGCAGCACCTCAGCAAGTTCGAGGAGGAGGCAGAAAAAGAATTGCAGGGAAAAGCCAGGCTCCAGCACTTCATTGAGAACCTGCTGCAGCGCATGGACCTGGCAGAGAGACAGCTAGAGTATTACCAAAACCAGCAGATCGCCTGCAGCTGTATAGCAGATGTTACACGCTCTTTCCTAACTAGTAATCATGTGTCTCATCCATTTGTGGTGAATGGTCAGTGGCAAAAAGAAAAGGGGGAGAGTAAGGGGCGGCAAAGACAGAAACGGTACCAGGAGGATGCCACTGACACTGACGGCACGGGTAATAGCAGTAGTATAAGTGACACAGGTGCGGGGCGGCGGGCACCAGTGTCCTGGAAATGTGATGGTGAAAAGGACTGTGACAGTGCAGAAGATGAAGAGAATTGCGGCATTGTGACTTGTAGTGCAGCAGAATTTACATGCAGTAGTGGGCAATGTATTTCCAAAAGCTTTGTCTGCAATGGTCAAGGTGACTGCTCCGACCACTCGGATGTATCTTTGGAGCAGTGTGGCCGCCAGCCTGCACCTCTGGTGAAGTGTTATGTGAGTGAGGTGCAGTGCGGCTCAGGTGAAAAAGACTATGACAGAGATCCTGATTGCAAGGATGGAAGTGATGAAATTAACTGCCCTTCTCAGACTTGCAGGCCAGACCAGTTCAGATGTGAAGATGGGAACTGTGTTCATAGGAGTAGGCAGTACAGTGGTGTGAGAGACTGTCTGGATGGCACTGATGAAGCAAACTGTAACGATGTTATTCAGTGCTCTGGACCTGGCAAATTCAAGTGCAGAAGTGGAGAATGCATAGATATCAATAAAGTGTGTAACCAGCAGAGAGACTGCAAGGACTGGGGTGATGAGCCCCTGAAGGAATGCAACAAAAATGAATGTGACTGTCCAGCTGGGTTTGAGTTTGTAGACAAGAGAAACTGTGGAGATTTTGATAAATGTCAAAACCCTGGTATCTGTAGTCAAATATGTATCAACCTGAAAGGTGGCTACAAATGTGAATGTAGCCGTGGATATCAGATGATTCCTGCTACAGGAACCTGGCAAAGGCCATACCGGTACAAAAATACAAATAACACCTGTGATTACAATGACGCTGCTAAGCAGGGTTTAGGGGTTCATAGCATGGAGATGATGAGCAACCACCCGCGACACGTCATTACATTAAGTTTGAAAATGATAATAAATGTATTATGAGAGTACTGTACCGAGATACGAAAACGGGACAATGGCTGGGGCCTGCTGATGTGATTTATATGGGGCGAGGTTATGTGTGTATCTCTTCCCCTACAGGGCCAACCTGGGTGCCTAGTCGGTGTGTTAAACCAGCCATTGAAGAAAAGTCATCAAGTACGAATAACAGCAACCATGGCTGATCTAACAGCACAAGGGATTCTGGTTGCATTATCTTTGACAATGACGGTTGGACGTAATAGTGCCATCCTAAGCAAAATCGATCCTCAAACCAATATGTGGGTCACTTGGGCAAATCAAACCGGACAAAGTTCATTTTGCCTATTCCTCGCTTCTGCGTCTGATCCTTTCGTTGATGAGTTGATTATGTTTGAAATGGTTAAGGGATCATACGCAAAAAATTGTAGTACAAGATAGTTGGTTTGAAGGTTGGTTTAAATCTCTTTTTGGGAACATGGGTGGATGTTTTTTTTTTCTTCGTCAAAGAGGAACTTCGTTTTCTACTTATATTGATTATAGTTGCTGCAAAATAAAAACGGGGGAATTGTGGAGGAATTGTTAAGTGAGGCAGGACATGTGAATGTTGAGCAGTTGGGAGACAATGGGCTGGTGAAGCACCGTACTCAACTCACATGAGCCTTGGCACGTATGCAGCTGGCTGAGAGCCAATCAGGCTCAAGGACACGATGCCCTTGGGCCATCGGGAAAGTCCCTAAGGTGGGACAGGTAGCCAAAAGAAGGAGGACCAGACTGAAAAGCCTGGGAAGTGTCAGCCAGTCCTGAGCTTAGTTTCTGCAATATGTATGAGTTGATTATGTTCGAACTAGATAAAAGACGACTGAGCTATCCATTAAAGTTGAAGTTCACTGTTCACTCATATTGAGCGTCTGGGTCTTCCTTCTGTCGGCAACATGTGGGGAGAACAAATAGGGTGGTTTTGAATATTCTGGCTCTTACTCAGAGCAGCATGTGGAGGGAGAGAGATGCGTTTGCTTTTTTAGTGCAATGGCTTCAGAAGCAAGAGGGGAAAAAGCACTTTCTCCGGGAGCTGGAGAAGGTGTCCTAATCACCGGAGAGGTTTCTAAATGGCATATCTTTGCGAGTGTTCCTGTAGTCTGGAGGTTTTTGTTTGTTTTTGTTTGCCTTTGGAAGGTTTTCCTCTTAATATTCATGTCCTTCAGCAGAAGTGAGAAATGTGATTTTATTTTCTGCAGTGTCGCGGACCCTCCGAAACCTGCTGGGAATGATGAATACCTCGCCCAGTACCAATGTGATGATGGTGGAGAGAAGGAGAAACCAAGAAGATGAAAAGAACGTGACCTGATTTCCAAAGAAAACGTTTTGTCCGGCAAAGAGTCTTCTGAGCCTGGTGAGAAATTGCGGCAAACTTCCTCTCTCGAGTCTGACACTGAATGTAGCTCTAAAAACCTTTCCTCCTCAGCTATTACAGAGAGATGCCAAGATACAAAGGACGAGACTAAAAACACTGACAAAGATCATTACCAAAGCAAGAGGGAACATGCTCCTAGTGAAGAGAAGGAGAGTCAAAAAGCAGGTCCTTCCAGCAAGAGAAGGATAAAGTTGAATGCAAAGAATACAAACTGGAGCTCCTGATTGGCTTCATGCTGCACTCTGTGCTGTTCTTGTCCTAATCTTGGTCTCTCCATAGATAATATGTTTTAAATCCAAATAGAATCATGCGATGAGGAAGATGTCCCTGCAACAAATTCAACGTCTAAAATCAAAGGTTACATTTTTCTGTGGTTTTCTTCCTGAGCAGAAGTGCGTAGTACTCCTTTTCTATTAATGTAGAGATGATTTCAGACAGTCTTGAAGTGCTTGATGACTTAACAGTCTGCAGATTTATTATGAAATCAAAAGAACGCGACTTGGTAGACTATTTTTTTCGCAGTTTTGAATGACCAGTAGGAAGAAGGTTGTTTCGGCATCAAACAGGGTCTTGGCTTCACCCGGACAAGCACTCTCACCAATTTTCATGGCACTTTTTAAAAGATCAGTAGAGAATATTTTACAAGTTGTGCAGAAGATGTTCCCGTATGCACAGCTTGCGCTAAAGGAGGACCGACAGCAAGATATAACCACAGCATCCACTTCTTTATAATTCTGCTAAAGCAAAAACTTGTGGTTTGTGCAATCAACTTAAACCTTTCAGACATAATGATGGTAGAATTTTACTTTTTACACGTGCATGTCTTTCTTTTGGGCATGTCTGGAATATAACGCATAGGTTTTATTCTGGATTCGAAACTGAAATGCCAAATGGAGCTCTGAATGACTCAATACACAGTAAAGGACGATGCGTTCTCTACTGAAGCATCCTGCTTCTGACGACAGCTAAGATAATTAGCATTTGTAGCGGTTGACTTGAGGTTTGAAGTATAAGGCACCTATTTTTCTTTAAAAAATCAAAACTCAGATATTTGGAGGGGAAGCATTTCTAGGTCAATGTTTCTAATTCCTTTCTGAAGAATGTCAGGACCAGGATACAAGTGTAACTGGTCTAAGCTAAATATTGTTTTAGCTATCATCATTTTTAACCAGTCTCCTAATTTAAATGTTTGTGGATCATACTATACACGTGCACGTGAGATCAATTAGCATTGATACTTACTAGATGAATGGAATTCTGTGACCATCACATCCGTTATCACCGTGCTTTCATTGTGGGAACCTCCTCCGGAAAGAATTGGTCTTGTTTTTTGTTTTTTTTAGTTATTCAGCAACTGCAGAAATTGTTGGTAATCTCCTTTATTCCAAGGGGGAGAAAAAAATCACCAAGAGTAGCATACCTTATACGTACACATCAGTGGGACTTAGTACGGCTTTGTAGGGCCTTGTGCCATCTCCTTAAATCTGTGGTGGGATGAACTCTAGGAAATAGCTTTCAGTGTGTGCTCTCAAATGAAGAAAGGGTTTTGGCACTTATTTAGAAGCTGTATTAATGTAAGAGAAAGAGACAAAGGCTATTCAGGAAAGTTAACAAACCTCTTTTGCCTTTCAGACCATTTAAATCCTATTTTACAAGATGATATGTTCGACAGTGATGGCGATGCATCCTTGGTTTCTGGAGGTGAATTAAAAGATGGAATGCCTGACGGACCAGAGAAAAAACGCCTCTGTTTCAGCAGGTAAAGAAAGATAGATCCCTGTTATGTTTAAATTCTCAGGTCTGTTGAGTCTTTGTAAACAGTTCCAGCTGTTAAAAGTGCGAGGGGTGGTAGATGAAGGGGTAACATCAAGTTTGTGTGTTGAAGGGGTGCTTGGTATTCACAAGAAAGGGTGAAGGGACTAAAGTTGTAATGAAGTTGCTGTGAATGACCAGATTGAAAAGCCCAGGCTTCTCTTCCTAATCCAAAGTGATCCGTAGACTATCAGAACACGTTGACTTAATCCATGGCATTCTTTGAAAGACTCAAGACCACATAAATGTCCTGTCTGTCCTTTCAGCTAAAAATACCCCAACTTTATGGGTTTGTGTTGCCACCTTTTGTCCTTCTGTTTTCCAGGATTGTTAAACCAGTAGTGAATTATGTAGCCGAAAGAAAACTGAGCAATGGCTTGTTAAAACACCTTGAGAAAAATTTGAACGGTGTCTTTATTTGTTAAGCCACCAAGTTGTGTTAATCTTTTGGTATTTTAGTATGGAAGTCATGCAAGCCCACCGTTGGAAAGTTAGATCATGTTGTTGCAGCTGGATCAGTTATTTTTCTCAGTTTCTGTTGCTGTGCTGTCCAGAAGATTTTCTGTGCTTCAGAGCAAAGCTAAGTCTCTAGCATCTTTGATTTAAGCCAGCAAAGGAACAGCCTGATTGTAGTGGGGAAAGAAATGCTCCTCACAAATTTATTTCCTAGTAGTAAAGCAAGATTGCAGGGATATTAATTGGCAGTCTTGGTTTAGTAAAGAATAGGAAACACAAGGGAAGAAGATGAAACAATTGGAATGCCTGAATAACTTAACTGGAAATCTTACATGTATTTAATATACCACTGCCATTTGGATTATTTGGGGAGGGAAAAGAAAGTCTATAGGAAAAGTACTTGGAACATCTGTGTGTCTGTCTATTCAGCACCTCATTTATAAACTTGTTTTCTTAACTCTTGTTCTAGGAGTGCTTTCTGCGAACCAACATCACGCCGGCCCCGTCTGCTAATAGTAGGAAAAGAAGGGTACGGCCAGGTTTCATACGTGGCACCCGCGGTGTTGCACGCTTTGGAGGTTTCCCGTTCACACCCTGGACCTTTCTGTTCTGCTTTCAAACGTTGCACTGCCAGAAGAAATCTGCGGACAGGTACCTTTTTTCTTTTTATTCTCATTGGATTCCCTGACTGTATGTAAAGGATCAATCAAGTTGCAAGTAAGGTGAGCAAAATTTATTGGTAATGGAGGTGGCCTTGTTTTAATGTGCTGGGATGTTTGCTTCTGTCTGAAAATCCCCTTTTCTTTTAGACAAAACCACAAACAATCTGGATGTTGTACGTGTCCACATTTTCCATACCCAATTTCACAGTGAGGATGTTGCTAGCAGCTCAGGAAGCTGGGCGGTGTTGCTAATAAACATCTCTTTGTGGAAAGAAATGCTGCTGATCTCCCTGGGATCCAGAAAGTAGTTCTCATTGCCTCCTAAGGCTGTGTGCTCCCAGTAGATGGCTCTGTACCAGACTGCATGTCAGCTACTTTTTGTAGCCTTCTTTTAAATTATAGTAGTAAGGCAACCAAGGTTTGGGGCTTGTGTTTATTTTGTTTTCACACGGACATAGACAACTTGTGCCGTTGCAGTATGTGCAATAAAAGCATTAACATTCACAAAACACTTCATTTGCACGCTGATGTGGTTTTAAGTAGGGAAAATGAACAGATTTGGTGTTTTTACGTTCAGGCAGGAAATCCATTTTATTGTTTGGCATCACTACCTCAAAATATTTTTACCTTTAGTGGAAACGTTTGAGAGCCATACAAGTAAGGACAGACATGTTACACGACTGAATACTGATGTGTCCCGTAAGAGGGACATTTCCTTTCTTTGTTCTGTGATGATTGTGTCTGTGGCCATATAGCTACGGTGTCTAGCCACTGCCTGAATATATCCTTCCCATCTTCTGACTAGAGTTCTCCGAATACTGATAATCTGAAAGGGTGCCCAGAGAAATTCCTTATGTGAAAGGATGCTTGCCACTCTGTTCACGTAGCTTCATTTCATGGGGCAGTCAGATGGCTATGTAGCTATGTATTAACAGGTTATTCTCCGTGTTTCAGTTTTCTTACCCAAGCTTTCCTTTTCACTAGCTGATCCGAAATGCTCAGAAGACAGCACCAAGCATAATTTATGTCCCAGATATCCATTTATGGTGGGACAACGCTGGACCTGCCTTGAAACTTACTTTTCTAACTCTACTACGTAACATTCCAGCATTTTCGCCAGTTTTGCTGCTTGCTACGTCTGATGTATGTCACTCAGATCTCCCAGAAGAGGTATTTGTCAATACTTTTCTTACTATTTCTTCAGTGTCTTGTAATTTATGAATGCTTTCAGCATCAAAATGCTGTGCTTTGTTAAATGCATACTGTTATTACTCAGGCACCCTAACAAATCACTTAAAATTTGCTTAGAGAAAAAGAATACTGTGAAAGCATCTGCTTAAGGTTTTTTCTGAGTCAAGCAAGTGACGTTCACCCCTTTCTCATGCATGCAAATAATAAATTAATACAATAATTCCGGTGGCTACAAAGTGGTTCAGTCAAGAATATGCAGTGCTTGAAATGACAAGAGGATGTCTTTACTGAAGAGATTTCTTCTGACAGTCTGCCATTCCATGCTATGTTGGGTAAACTGCTAATAATGCAATTTAGTAGAGAATTGAAACACTTTGATTTAAAAAAAAATAAATCAGTTTCTTTCTTCAGATAGGCCAAAGCTTTCCAAGCTGGAAAGCTGAGTTCCAATTTCTGCTCAAGTAACTTTGGAATGGAATTCTAGTTGTATTCCTAAATAAACTGTAGTAAAAGTACATGCAGGACTTCATTGACTTCTGAGAGTTTACATTAAGGGAAGGTGCCCAAAACAGGAACACGCTGTTCTCATTCTGATTATTTTGTCTCAGTTAGTGGGGGAAGAGAACGGGTCTTACCTAGACGTGTTTATTATCAACTGCTTTGAAAGTGCTTGAGTTCCCACAGAAGTTTTTGTACAGGTTCTAAATTCCTTCTAAAATAAGTAGTGAAATTCCTTACCTACCTTTTAATACTAGAAATGGAAAATGGAGGAAGACGTAGAGGTACTAGCTACTTCAGGCACCTTTTGGTAGAGAAATAAAAAGTCAGCAAAAAGCCCTCACTTGTCTGCTGAAGCCTTTCTCTTCCCTCTATAGCCATAAAGGTTCTAAGTAAAGGATGCAGCAAGGCAAGTAAATACAAAGGAAGCGATGTTGGATGTGGTGAAAGGCATTACTTTATCAGTGTAGCGTACAATCCCTTCAGCGAGCTTTAATTCTACAGGTGATTCTTAAAGGTGATATTTGAATTTGCCGTGTCAGCCTGTGAAAATGTAGCCTTTTAAGGCCAGGAAGATAACTTTTTTTCAGTTTGTGTTCTTCAGGTTATTATTCATTGTAAAAGGTACTCGTCTTTCTGGAATAGAAGATGAGTTTTTTGTGGCCTTTAAATCTGAAACGTCTTTCCTCCTTCTGCTTTAGATCCAAAAATTATTTAATAAGGAATTTGGAGAAGTGTGCAATATTGAGTTGTCTGGTAGGGCAGAGAGAGCAGCTTTTTTTGAGGACCTAATTCTAAATCAAGTGGCTAAGCCTCCTGTAAAGAAAACAGGTGAGGAGGATATAAGAAGTACATCTAAAACTTTCCTATCGAAGTTACTAGCTCTTTGGGATTTGCTTTGGTGGTCATTTTCTGTCAGTAATTTGTCATATGCTTGTATTTGAGTACTGTAAATTGGCTAATTTTTCCTGATTAATTGAAGTTGATCGGGCATTGGAAGTCCTGCCTGTAGCACCAGCGGCTGAGCCTCAGAAGCCACAAGAGGAAGAAGTAGGGATGCTGGAGGAGGAAGAGGAGGATACCTTGCGTGAACTTAGAATTTTCTTGAGGGACGTTACTCACAGACTTGCCACTGACAGACGTTTCAGGGAATTTGCAAAGCCCGTTGACCCACAGAAGGTAAAGTAGTGCTGATCTGTGTGTGTCTGTAACTTCTCAGTGTTCGTATTTCTCAGCGCTTTGGGGAAGGTTCAGCTTTGTTTTTAGGGCTGCACTATTAGGATTTTGCAAGAAGCAGAGGCAGTGCTTTTACTTCTGCTGACTCCCAAATGTCTCTTATGGGATTATTTGCTGAAAGCCCTGGTTTCATTCTAAAAAGCCAGTCCAAATGCCAACACAGTTTGCTCGTGAAAAGGCTTTGATACGTAGGCATGTCACAGCACTGAAAAGCACAGAGATCTTTCCTTATAATTACAAACAGTATTTACAGGACTACTTTAATGAAGTCTAAAGCCCTTTATTGGACTGTCAGTTCCTGTGGGAACAGGAATAGGAGCAGCAGTTTGTAAAAATAAGTTTTGAGGTCCTGTTCTCTGTTTCATCTGGAACTCCTCAATAGGAATCAACCGTAAGTGCAGTGTGTTTTCTTCTTCCTCCAGTTGGCTGCTTAGATCCCTTTTTCTCCTTAATTGATTAGATAAGCCTAAACTAGGGGCGTATGTTTCAAAGACAGATGTAACTTGAATATACCTGCGGATCAGCAAAAGTCCTCTTCATGTGGGCATCCACTGGCTTTTCTTCCCCTTTTCTCCTAGGCTCTTGAGCTGTGAAAAATCTAGACAGATACATGTGTCCTCATCTGAACTAGTCATTAGGCTCCTCTTGTGGTCTGAGGGAAGAAATCAGCACCTCTCTGCCCAGTTATCTCATTCTAAAGTAGATGCCTGCAATAGGTACTTCACAGGTGCAATTCGTGCACCTTTTCCTCAATGTCGACAACAAAGAGAATGTCGGATGGCTTGCTCAGCTTTCACTGTTGTGATTTTCTGAAGCAAAGTGAAATGAATCTCCCACCCTCAGTGTTTCTTCTGTACCATGCACGTGCTTCTGACCTCCCTACTTGTTGTCCTCTCCTAGCAGCTCTAATGCCAGTTGAAAGAGCCCTTCCATTTTTGAGAAGCAAACTGGTTAATTTCAGCATCTTCTGATGCATCGCAAATGTTCAGAGTTTTTAGGAAGTCGTTTATTTAAAGTTTTCAGAATAATTTTGTTAGACAGTGTGCAAGGTTAAGAAAACCTCTGAATGCTTGTATTTGATCTGCAGGTACCTGACTATGCCACAAGGATTAAAGAGCCGATGGATCTTTCAACAGTTCTGACTCAAATTGACTCGCGCCAGTACCTCACTGCAGGAGACTATCTGAAGGACATCGATCTAATCTGTAACAATGCCTTAGAGTACTACCCGGATCAAAGATCTACAGGTGAGGATGTGCTTTTTAGCCCTAGTTTAAAATATCTGTCAAACGTATAGAAGGATAAATGCTGTGTGTGGACAATAGACTTCGGATGGATTAGATGATTTTGGACATCCACAGAGAACATCTCCTACCACATTGTAAATATTTTATCATTTTGCTACTTGGGCATGGAATTGTGATACAAGTGTTCCCAAGGAACTAGTGCTTTTGTTTTAATTAACTTGGATGTTGTTATGCTGAAAATATTCACTGAGAGAACCTTTTGGAACCAACCTATGAAGAAAGCAATTTTTTCTGTGATCAAAACAGTTTCATTGGTTGGTAGACAACATTCAGTTAAAGTCTGTAAAGTTTCAGATCGTCACAGAGCCTATGTTTTGCAAGACACTGCAACGGTGAGGAACGAAATGGCTACAGAGTTTGCATGACTTTGTGAACAAATTAAAGAATCTCGTGAGAAAAGAGGTACATGCTTTAACGCTAAGGATTTTAAGACTTGTCTCTGCATTTGTAACTGAAAATGCACGGCGAAGATCTTTGGTATCTATTCTTTATTGCAAGGTCGCACCTCTCCAGCGTGTGCTCCATGCGACAACTCCAAGTCACCACAGCAGAACCCTGCTACTGAAGACGACAAACCAGAGGAAGAGAGTAATGAAAATGAGGAGATGCCAGCAGGCACCTGTAGATGCCAGTACACCCATTTCTAATGGCAAGTTGCATTTTATTCAGCTGCTCTTGTCATTCATACCTTCTCTGTTCTTGAGGCGCAACAGGTGTCTCTGATGGCCTGGCTCTTTATGCCAGAGGTATTTTGTTTTCAAATTTACTTCAAAATGGGAGAGAGAAATCCAGAGGTCATTCATTCAATATAGTTATGTATTGAAGTTCAAAGAAAGTTGGTTCATTTGATGTACTCTTCCTGGAACTTCATTTTGTAAACAGAACGACCCCCCACTCAAGGATATCACAGCTGCCCTCCCGTACTAAAAATGATAGTACTCACCCTTGTAGGAGCAGCAATGTGAAGAAGGTCAAGGGCAGTAAGAAGGGTTCAAAGCTTTGATATAACAAGCCTTACACTTTTTTTGACAGAGCTCCTAATAAGCATCTTCAGCAAGGTCTGGAGATGGGAGAAAAACTCGAACTAGATTTTAATTCTAGGATGTATAATGTCAAGCTTGACTGTTCCTCTGAACAGTCAATTGAATTTAATTTTTTTAATTTAAATTAATTAGTTTAGTTTTCTTAATTTAAATTGAATTTAAAGGTTTGAATTTAAATTCCAATTGAATTTATTGAAAATTCCAATTGAATTTCAAGTTTGTTGTTGTTGTTGTTTTTCACGAAACACTAAGTTTATGTGAAAGGTTTTGCTGCAATATCTTTCTGCCAAGGATATTAAGCTTAAGTTATCCACAAGAAAATGGTGGGGAGAGGGAAGCTTTAGTTTTGAAAGCTTTTTTTTTTTTCCCAGGTTTTTCTTGAGCACAGCAGCGTTTCAGTGTCTGCCTGCCATTAGTTGCCCCTCTACCAAGTCAGGAGGGTTAATTAAACTTGCGTGAGGCAGAATTTCTTTATCTGAATCTACGTGGTTTGCATGAATGTATTCTTATTTCCTTCTTTCCCTAGCATTATTCTTCTACCAGTATTGAATGTTTCAACGGACACTGTTTAAGATCAATGAGAAAAAGCATCCTGCGGTGTTTGGTCTCCAGCTTTGAAGAAAGTATGGCGATACTGAGGGGAAATGTCAACAGAAGACGCTTTTCAAGGTACTGTATTTCTATATGTTCAATCTCTGTTCGATTTGTAGATTGAAAAGCAAGAGAGAAAGCATGTGCAGTGAGTTGTGGCCTGATAAACCTCCGGCTAAAATCAGCAGAGGCCTATGAGCATGCTGATGGCATACCAGTACCTTAAAACTAGAATCCCTCTTCTCAGTGAAAGTCTCCTGCTTTTCTAAAAAAACATGTGTTTTTTTCCCCAACACTTTGAGGTGTTGTTGTGGTGTTTAGCTGCCGGCCAGGTTAAACCACACAGCCCTTCTCCAACCCTCCCACCTCCCTCTCTGGGATGGGGGAGGGAAACGGGAAAGTGAAGCCTGCGAGTTGAGATAAAGACAGTTTATTAAGACAGGAAAATAATAACGATGATGATGATAATAGTACTGCTAATAGTAATGTGTACAAAACAAGTGATGTACAGTGCAGTTCCTCACTACCCGCTGACCAGTGCCCAGCGTAACCCCTAGCGGCCCGGCTGCCCCGCCCTATCCATGGTGCAGCGTGTTGCCATAAGGCATAGAATTCTTTGGCCAGTTGGGGTCGGCCATCCTGAGTCTGTCCCCTCGCAGCTGTTGCTGTGCGCCGATTCTGATCGCTAGTAGGACAGTGAGACACCGAAAGGTCCTTGGCTTGTTGTAAGTACTGCTCTGCAGCAACTGAAACATCGGGGTGGTATCAGCACTCCTCTAAACATCCTTTCACACTTCCTAAGCCAAAACATAGCAACCTACCTGCTACTAGGAGGAGAACTAACTGTCCTAACCGAAACCAGGACATGTATCTTATCCGCTTGGGTGCTATTGCTCATAATTTTGAGAATTCAACATGAGCAAGCTAGGAAATGTGGGTACATACAGAACCGCGTGTATATGGTTCGCAACAGACTGGGGATCTGGATCCTCCGTGAGGCCTACAGGCTTCTCTTTGTATACCATGGAGCACTGGCTTGTAAACATGGTGAAATTTCCCACCCTTGATGGGTCTAATACAAAAACTCTTTTCTCCCTTCTCTCCCCTGTCCTCTTTCTTAGTGTAGGCAGTTGAGAAAGCCGAAATTGGAACGAAGAAAAGAATATAACACAGGTAAGTGGCTGTAACTCCCCGGGATACCTATTTACTGCTGGTTACTGAAGAGGATGGCACTTGGTCACTCCATCGCTTTCATTTGGCCCCAAAGCCTTCTGTAGTCAGCTGAATTCACTCATCAGTGACTTTTCTGTGAAGAGAGGTAGGTGCAAATAGGAGATTTTATGAATTCCTTGGGGAGGGAGCAGTGTGAATTGCAGCTTGGTAGGCACAAAGCAAACTGTTCTAATTGTGCAAAGTAAATTGATACTTGGTAAGTTCAAACTTAGTTTTATAGTTGGCAACCACAAAAGTAAACCTTAGCTGTGATCCTACCACCACAGTGGCGTAGCTCTTCCCTTCCCCTTGTCCTCTTGGCTCTTTTAATGACAGTGCAAGCAACAAACGTGTGCCAAAGGGTGCTGTATGGTAAACAATGGGCAGGCTTTTTTCTAAAAAGCACGAGTTTGAGTTATGTGGTGTTTGGGTGTTTCTCTTGAAACGATTCTTACCTCCTTGAGCTGTTAGATCATAATGCAGGAAATGAAAGTGCTGCATGCATAAACAGAGTAATAAAACATACACCTCTTAGGAAGAGGCTTGCAATGTAATAGTGTTTGTTTTGAGCACTGTTAGATACAGTTTGACATGAATGGAGTGAAAACACCTTAGAGAAAGGTGTTGATTGTTCTCCCTTTTCCAAGACAGAAATAACTGGAGTAGATTTCCCTCCTGCATGGAACAAAAGTTGCACGTTTGTTTTTGTCTGGCTAGCTTTCAGTCTCTTTAAGAATTTCTCTACAGGTCACAGTTTTCAGTAGACAGTTTAAACGTGCAGAGCGATAAGTAAGTGGAATGCAGTGGTTGTGACAACAACTTCTGATCTGAAATTTAAAGAAAAATCAATCCACTTCAGGGTGGATTTTTTGTTTGTCTGTTTACATTTTACAAGAGCAACGGTGAAACAAGGAGAATCCCATCTTCACTGTTTCAAAATACTTTGTTTCTGTGTTTCAGTCACTAGAACATCGAGGAGTAGAGCTGGTGCAAAAACTGTGAGACAAGTCCACGGAGAAAACAGGGACTTGGAGCTGCGCCGCAGCTGTAGCGTCGGACGCAGTCGGTACTCTACTACTAACTCGTCCATTCTATTTGACAAACTTATAACAAAGTAAGTCCTCTTTTCTTGCAGACCTCTTAAAATGATCTTTCTTAGCAAGGCTTTGCACTATGGCATGGTGTTGGCCTCGACTTGCTCTGTATTTTGACAGCAAAGAGGTATGGCTGCTCCTGGCATTGAGAGTTCAATTCGTTGAGTTTTCCCCATTTGGCAGTTTTCTTAGCATCAGAAGTGCCTTCATTTTTAATGAACTTTTTGTTCCATACTCACAAAAGTGAATGTAATGGTTGATTAAGAAACTGAGGACGGTTTGATACAGTCAAAGCAAAGTAGTCCTAGGGATTCTGCGTTTCTGTCCATGGTTTATTTCTGTTTCTGAAGCCAAAATTGTTTTCTGCTTCAGAATTTGCTTTCCTTGCATTTCATCATTTTCTACAACACGAAACTGAGATTCCCATGTAGAGAAGAACAAACAGCCTTTCCTCGGTTAACAAAAAATGACTTAATGCTACTGTGCAGAGCAACTTAAGTAGGATTAAAAGTTGACATAATTTTTTTATAACATCTTACTAGGATGTCAGAATTCTTATTGTCCTCCTGCATTTAAATATATATATATATTTTAAATGTGCTCGGTAAGAGGGGAAAATAAACCTGAAAACAGCGTATGTTTGCAAATCCTCAAAAGCTTGTTCTTAAATCTCTATCAAAAATAAAGATTTGACCTAATTTTTTGGTAATGTCTAAAATCTTGGCTAAGTGTCAATGACTTTTGCTTTGTGCATACTCCATTAAAATCTCTTACTGATTATGTGTGCTGTTTTATTTTTTTCGTACATGCCTAACTTTGCTCTTACATGTCAACTTTGTATCTTAGTACTGCGGAAGTTGTGCTACAACAAATGGCTGAAATGGAGCAGATGCGTAGATGCCAAAGATGTTGGGAAGATGTTGAGGTACAAATGACAGAGCAAGTACTCCGTCAGTTTGCCATTTTTGTAGAGTATTTCACGTAGGGAAGTAACTTAGTTGTAATTTTAATTGAACTGAAATAACTTCCTTCCAAAGAATAGCGTGGTCTAAACTACCATTTGGTCTTGCTCTCTGGTTATATCTTCATGTCTTACTGATACGGTTGTGCTCCAGATATCTTTTCAGAGTGGAGGAAGCATCTTCTGCAGAAGATGTGGGATAACGGGGAGATGCTGCAATGCATGTCTTCCACTCCAGTTTCTGAATTGCCTTCTGCTTTTTGAATGGACACTGTTTACAAACAGCTGTTTCGGACTTGGGTTTTTACTCCAAATGTTACTAAAAGCTCTGCCTGGGGGACTGAATATGCAAAAAGACTGGTGCTTTCCATCAGCTTGGCAGTTTAAGCTGTTTAGCTTTTTATCCTTAACTCCTAAATCATATTTCTCGTCATGCTCAGGAACGCACTTACTTGGAAAGCTTAACAAAAGGCAGTGCATAGCTTCCTGTGTTGGTCACTCGCTCGAATTTTGATTCCTGTTAACGTTTTTTTTCCTGAGAGCTCACAAAGAATCTCCAGTATCATGTAGCTCTAATCATCTGTTACAGGCAAATGGAGCTGTTTTCTTTAATTGACCTAACTTGCATTTCAGGAATTCTTCCTTGGTTGCAAACTGCTCCCAGAGTTTTCAGGAACTGGAAGCCTTTCAAACTTCCAGCTGAATGAACTGATGGCTACTTTATGTATATTTGTTCGTGTGCTGGCCTTGCCTGAGAGCTTAAATAAACCCCTGTCTCTAGAGGAACCCCTGTTAAAGTTGTATGCAGCAATCATACTTCCTCTGTCTCAGTTTTGCTCTATTAAATTAAACTATTTTATTAAATTACTGTTCTTTTGAATGATAGGCACATCATTTTAAAACTTCCCGATAACCTACTTTCATAGCTTTTTGTTTAGCTCTGAATGTCCTTCTTTTCCTCTCAAATCACAGAATGGTTGAGGTTAGAAGGGGCCTCTGGAGGTCACCTGGTCCAACCTTCCCCTGCTCAAGCAGGGACACCTAGAGCTGGTTGCCCAGGGCTGTGAAATGAATCCAGAATTGTCCACAGTACTTTTTATTAGCATCTCTCACACGCCTGTATGATTTCTTTTGGTATGTCTGCTAGAAAGGTAGTTCTTTTTCCCTGGTTCTGTCACGCTGTAGGTTATTAACCTATGATTAACTAATGCACTCAGTTGTGTATCTGGGCAAGTATTTAACCACTGCATGTACTGAGCCCTGGTTTAGAGCAGAAATTCTTGTTACTGATTGTGGGTGCACGCAATCATATTCCCATTCTCTCCTCTTGTGCAATAATTTATTTTTTGTGTGTATAGGGGGTGCCTCGATAGTGTTACTGTGTAAGCATCAACAGACAGACGTGTCTGTCAGTGGATGTATGTGTATGCACGTCTGTTTTTCTGCACGTTTGTGACCGATCTTTCTTGCTGCTTGGAATTAGGAGAACCTTGATATCTTCACCTGTGTGAAGTCGGACTTTGAAAGAACTGGACCTGGCAGTCCAGATGAGATTGGTGAGTTCTGGTTTTAAGTTTTCTTTACTCTGTTCTAACCAAAAGCCTTGTCTTAAACAATTGAAACAAGCTAATCTACTGGGTATTTGTCTTCTGTAAAAATTCTGTGTTGCTATTGACTTCACAAGCCTTAGTATGAGCTCTAGGGCTGTACTGTAGTGAGCTCAGAACAGGTGAAAAAAAAAAGTAGATGAGCTGACGAGTTAGATTATGTGATAGAGCTCACCTGCACACCTGCAAAGGAGCTCAGAGAGA